GCCTGGAGCCTGTTTCCGATTCTGTGTCTCCCTCTCTCTCTGCCCCTCCCCCATTCATGCTCTGTCTCTCTCTGTCCCAAAAATAAATAAACGTTGAAAAAAAAATTAAAAAAAAAAAATAAATAAAACTAACTCCTCATCAGAATAGTATGGCTCTTCAACCAATTTAAAGTTACTCTCGTGACTCCCTGTTTCTTATCTCCAGGCACAAATATCCCCTTTCTTCAACTATTTCTTATATACTAAAGTTTCCAGATCCCTCACCTTCCTGGTCATCAGGCTCTGACATGCTCTAGTTTACCAATGTCCTCCTTTGCCTAGCCTTCTCTGATATGGCCTGTCCAAGCCTGATTCTGAATGTCTACATTGGCAGCCATGTTTTGCTGTTGATTCCTATTGAATAAAAAAACTTTTCCAGGGGATTTTCAAGGGGAGATGAATTTCCCGAACTGGGGCATTGACCCCTTGAATCCAGTGCAGATGTTTACATTGATCTTTATTGAATTTCATCTTGTTTCTTTCACCCATTCTGTCCATCCATCCAGTTGAGATCTTGCGTCCTGATTCTGTCATCTAGTACGTTATGGATTCCTCCCAGCTCTGGTTGCCACAAATTTGCTATATCCAGCCCTTTTAGCTTCATTGTTGGGGATAAAACTTGAAATAGAGGAGTGCAAATGCTGATCCCTGTGCCTTTTACTAAGTCCATTTGCCCGTTCATTTATTCATTCACTTGCTCATCCTTCCAACAAACTTAGGTTAAGGGCTACTGTGCTCTGGGCACTGTGCTTGCTGCTAGAGACCCTGCAGCAAATAAGACATGGTTTCTATTCTTGAAAGCTCAGTATCCAGCAGGATGACCGTCTCCTTCCAAACCCTTATCCGTGATAGCCTACTTGTTACCAGGATACTCACAGCCTGTGGGACCTTTTTGATTCTATCACCTCCCAGGCCAGCCTCCAATTCCCCAACTACCTGCTTTCCTTATAAAGTAAGGACCAGGATACTGGGATTTGGAGAAGGACCCAGACGCCAAGAGTATCCAAATGCCGCAGGCTCTACAGAGAGAGGTGAAAAGGGAATAGGAGAGAGAGGGAGAGAGAAGTGAAAAGCAGAAGGAAATCCCAGAGGATGCTGGGAGGGAAGGAAACCCTTTGCCCTGTTGGTTGGTTGGAAGGCCAGTGTGGTTGGCTGGATGTGACTGAATGCACGTGTGAGGTGAACATGCATGGGGCAGGACATGCCTGTGTAACCAGTGTGCAGACAAGCATGGCCTCTGCCGTGAACAGAGCAGCACTTGATTGCTTGTCTTGATTCAGGGAGGGTAATCTTCCCCAAAAGCTGGATGCAAACTGACCAGGTCTTATTTCTATTTATTGCTAGGTAATAGATTGTTACCATCACTTCGATTCACAAGTGAGCAATTTCAGTGTCCCATCCACGATGTAAAAGTCAAAACTCCAAGCATGGCTTGACATTACATTTTCCCCCTGCGCACCTCAGGCCTCCTTTGGGCAGAGAGGCTGGGGAGCGGAACCTCTCCTCTATGCCTGCTCACTGCCTCCATTTGTTGGAGGCCTTTTTGTCGCAGCTACTGTTGGCAGCGGGAGAGGGAGGAGAGGCCAGGAAGCAGACAGCTCCCGCTTGGCGGTGGCATTGCTCTTCCTGGGTCTCACTTTCAGATGGTCAGGGCTGGGGTCCTAGCTGGTGTCTCTGGATGGGCATGGGAGATGAAGAAAGCCAGTTCTTTCCCTCCTAAGGGGTTCTCTTGGGCCCTTCAGACGTTGTCACGGCCGGAGACCTCTCTCCAGTTCTTTTGACCTTGGGCTGCTATGTCACCATTAAGGGCGGTGGCTGAGGCCTGCTCCTGAGCTAGAAATCTGGAGAAATCTGGCGGGATCCCCTCCGGCCTCTTTGAGCTGAGATTGCCTTTTGCACTGCTGCTCAGGACCCATGTTGGCTCCACGTCAGCTCTCTCTCGTCTGTGGCTACTTCGGGCCTGTGGGTCACAGTTCTCCATCTCTTGTCCCAGCATACTCTGGGAGTCCAGGGTCACCCCAAAGTGCTAGTCTCTACGGACTTGGCCATGAAAGCCCTTAAGGGCCTTTTTCTCCCTGCTCCATGGCCCCAGGCTGGAGGCAAAACCCAGCCCACAGCCTGCTTTAGCATTCAGGGCCATAGGTGAAGTGCCCAGGGGCTCCCACCTGCAGGGAACATTTTGCAAAGCGTCTTGAAGGTCCCTCACCAGGCTTGGGGATAACAACCCCAACCTCTGCCTTAAAAGGAAGAGAAGGTGGCCTTCACTGTGGAGCTACGGCTCTTCAGCCATCTCCTCACACACAATCCTGTCTTCCCACACTCTGACCCTTTTTCGAATCTTAAAATAGGAGATGGGGCTTAAGAATTGAGAGCTGCCATTTAAGAAAGCGGTTTGGTGTTACCCGCTAAGTTGAGATGCTCATACCTAGGTATAGACCCAAGAGAAACCTCGACATGTCCAATGGGAGACATGTACAAAACTGTTCAGAGCAGGGGCACCTGGGTGGCTCAGTCACTTGAGCGTCTGACTTTGGCTCAGGTCGTGATCTTGCAGTTAGTGAGTTCCAGCCCCACGTCGGGCTCTGTGCTAACAACTCAGAGCCTGGAGCCTGCTTCGGATTCCATGTCTCCCTCTCTCTCTGCCCCTCCCCCACTCATGCTCGCTCTCTCTCTCTCTCTCTCTCTCTCAAAAATAAAAATTAAAAAAATAAAAAAAAAGAAATGTTCATAGCAGCTTTGTTTCCCAAGTAGGGCTACCAGATAAAATATAGGATACCCAGGTCAATTTGAATTTTGGACAATGAATATGTTGGTGATAAGCATGTCTCAAATATTTCATGGGACATACTTATACTAAAAAAATTATCTAAAAATCAAATTTAACTGGGCATTCTGTATTTTTCACTTGCTAAATCTGGAAACCCTGTACCAAGCCAAATGCCCACCAAAAGGCAAGTGGAAGAATAAATTGTGGTATACACACACAGTGGAAAATCACACAGGAGTCTAAATGAATGACAGTTATGTAGGAGAATTTGGATGAATCTTAGCCATACAAAATCTGAAAATATAAGCTCCAAAAGATTACACACAGAATGTTCTTTTTTGTTTAAGTTAGAAACAACTAAAATATTTTAATTTTCAGAGAATGTATGTAGCCACAGTAAAGCTATATAAAAAGGGAAGAATTGGGATGATGGATAAATGATTCAAAAGCGTGAGAAACTATGTCAAATGGGGAGTCAAAGGCCTAGGTTAATGGGGGTGGGGAATGATGCGTAGGCCATGATCAGGGTCCTGGCTTTTGTTTTGGGTAGCAGCTTTGCTGGTGCTCATGGAACGTGCATGAACTAATGACAAGAGAAAGTCACTCCCCAGTAATTATGAGTAATCTGATGATGGCACTTGATATCTGAAAATTAAATTTAAAATATAGAAAAGAAAAAAAAAAAACAGAGGTAGGGAGAATGGCATCATGAAAACATACTCCTAGTGCTTTTCCACGCAGGAGGGAAGAGTATTGGCAGGGAAGATGCCTCTGCGTCCGAAGAGGCAACAGCTGAAATGGACCTTGAAAAATGGCTAGAAGTTCACCAGATGGAGGAGGAAGGAAGAGCATTCCAGGAACGGTGTGCCGGAGAGCCAAGCAGCACAGTAGAGCCTGGCCTGCTCCCAGGACAGCAGTGAAGCTCAGGGTGGTCCCAGCCAGAGGTGGGTGGCAGCGGTGAGAAGAGAAGGTGGAGGTAGGGGTCGCAGGGGACAAAGTAAAGATGTGGAAGAGCTTATGTCCCCTGCCCAGGAGTGTGGAACTTACCCTTGGGCTTCGGGGCAAGGAAGAGCAGAAAGGGTTACGCAGGAAGCTGTGATTATGAGCCCTCAGAAAATTCTTGTACTGAAATGGGGAGTCTCTTGACCTCACGTATGCACACTATTGATAATAAGGCTGTCACATATGGCGGAGGGTCGAGAGGGCTGGCAAGGCAAATGCTAAAAAGACAGGGCCTCGTGAGCTTCGTGGCTGCTGAGTAAAAAATGGTCAAGGGAAGGGTTGTAACTATGGTTTAAAATCATTGGGCGCCTGGGTGGCGCAGTCGGTTAAGCGTCCGACTTCAGCCAGGTCACGATCTCGCGGTCCGCGTCGGGCTCTGGGCTGATGGCTCAGAGCCTGGAGCCTGTTTCCGATTCTGTGTCTCCCTCTCTCTCTGCCCCTCCCCCGTTCATGCTCTCTCTCTCTCTCTCTCTCTCTGTCCCAAAAATAAATAAAACGTTGAAAAAAAATTTTAAAAATAAAAAATAAATAAATAAATAAAATCATAAATACGGGATGACCCACAACTCTGAGAACAGAGATGGTCAGCGATTTGGTGGAAAGGGGAGTAGCCGAGAAGGTTGGCTGATTCTCCAGAGGCGATCCTACGAAAAAATATAAAACCATTAATGAAGGAATTGGGAGAGAATCCCTTGATGGCGCCTCTGGACTTCTTGCGTCTCGCCTGCATCGGCCACTCCTCCCCTGCTACACCCATGGGATTTGTTCTCTGAATTTATTCTATTCTAGTAGTAAAGCACACAGGCTACCCCATGTGGGGTAATGTGTGCAGCGTTACAGATACCCAAATGAATAAGCTATAGCTCATGCCCTTATTGAGGCTACAAGCCAAACACAAACCATCTACAACTAGTTATACTAATGTTTGGAAAGTGCTAGAACAGAGTGACGTACACTCTGGAATCAACAAGAGGGGGCGATCGGTACTGTCCGAAATGGGGGTGTCCAAAACAGGGTAGCATTTGAGCTAGAGGTTGACAGGTGAGGTTGGAAGTTGGACAAGCTCAAGATGGAGGTGGGCGGCACGCGAGCAGAGAGGGCGGCGCGGGCACGGGCCCGAAGGTGAGGCTGCCACGGTAGGCTGGCGCCAGGTAGGGACAGGCCTTCGAGATCCTGCTAAGGAGTGTGAACTTTGTTCTACATGTCCTGGCTGTTGAGCAGGGCGGTGTCAGGAGCAGATCTGGGTCATTGGAACAAGCCTCCTGGCCACGTGCAGAAGATGGAATGAAGGGGGCCGAGGTTAAGGTCACAGGGAACAGCTGGGAGGCAGCTGCCCGAGTTCCTGTGAGTCCTGACAAGACTACAGAGGGGCCGTGGGGCCGGACAGCCAGGGATTCTGGGGCCAGAAGAGGCCTTGGTTGTGAGGTAAGTCATTCCCGTCTCTGCCAGCCGCATGGGTGGACTGTGTGTGAGAGCTATCGGTGTGCGAGGGACTTTGGCCTGCAGGGAGGCTGGAGCCCGGGCCCGGAGAGGCAGTGGATTTGGGAAGGGCTGCAGCGACAGGAAGGGTGTTTCCTCTGTACACCTGCCAAAAGAAACCTGTGATTCAGTAGATGGCATTGTCTGATTACCCAGAAGGCTTTACAGTCTTGACTTATCTTGACTCTTATCTACTTCCGTAATTCCACATTGCCTCAGAGGCGGGATGGCGGCCGGCCGAGGGGTGGGGTCCACCACAGTGCCTTTTCTCGAATGTGAATGATGTCTATACCAGCTGGGAGCCCATTGGGAGCTTCTCTGTAGAAGGCACATACAACGGGAAGGTTGATAAAGAGAAAGAAAAGCATCTTTTTTAAGGACCGCAATTCTCACCCCGAATTGGAGTGATCTTTGTGTAAGAATTGAGTTCTGTTATCAGTCATTGATAATACCAAGTTACCTCCTATTTAGAAAGCACCCACTGCATGCTGAGAGCTGGGCTACCTACATTATCTGATTTACTCTGCAGGGCACCTACCCTACATGTGGTAAACATCACTAGCTCCATTTTACAGGTGGGGAAGTAAGGCCGAGAGAGTTCTAACGCGTTGCTCATCGGGTGCAGCCTAGAGATGTTCTCCCTATTTGAAGGGGTGACGGTATTGCTTCTAATCTGACCCACATATCATGCTTTTTGTTAACGATCAGAACACTGGCCCCATTTTTGATGAAAAAGCTGTCTCTTCCTCCCACATGACAAAGTACTTCTTTCCAGCAGTCGTTCCGAGTGCCGTGTTTATTTAGTCGCAAGGTCTTTAAAAATGCAGCCACCGTGGGAATCACGTTAGTGAAGGGCTCGGGCCGCAATGGCATTCAGCAATGCCTGGTATTCTGTTTGCTTCGGATGATACTTAACAGTCCAGCGGTTAGGAGATAGAAAATAATTAGTCCGTCTAGCCGGGAGATTGGGTGATAAAAGGAAACTGGGCTGCTGATTAAATTGTTTATTTAAGCTCAAGTTTAGCTATGTTTTTCAGCATAATGTGCTGTAGGAAGAAGATAGGGATCTGTCCTCATGGAGAGACACCCCCAGAGTGGCCGTCATCCCCACCCTCGCCCACTCCCACAGCTGCCTCGCCTCGGCTCTGCCATGCCTTCCTTTCCTGCCTGGCTCTAGGTTGTGAGGGTTTGGTGACTGGGCAGAATGACAGAAGGGCACACGAGGCCCGGAGCCCGAGTCCCTTGAGCTCTGGTCTTGTGTTCTCTGTTTGTCTTGTGCTCCTCCAAGCGCATGCTACCCCGGCAAGACGTGTTCTCCCTGTTCCTCCTCCTGGCTCTTCTCTGCATTCTTCTCCCCCTGGCTTGTAAAACAGAGATCGGCTTCCTTTCTTCTCTTTTGTCACTGTTTTCCTTAATTCCTCCTTCTCTGTGTGAGGACTCATATGATTGATACGTGATGCATAATGTCAATGCTCGGTTTGCCCATAGTTTGAGCATAGGCAAGCCCAACTTTCTAGGAAAGTGCCAGACCAGAAAATTACGGCCCACAGGGCAAGTCCAGCCTGTGCCTGTTTTTGTAAATAAAGTTTTATTGGGCACATCCATGCTACAGCGGCAGAGCTGAGTAGTTGAAGCAGAGACTGTGTGGCCCGCAAAGCCAAAAATATTTACTATCTGGCCCTTTACAGAAAAAGTTTGCCAACCCCTGCACTAGACAAAGATATTGCAAGCTAAATTCTACTTCGGGTCGTTCCTGCCCCTAGAGATCCCTGGGCCCAACTTTTGTACCTGTACAATAATGGGAGACCTGTGCTATGTTTGCACTGAACTGACCAGTGGATGAGAATTCGGGAAGCATGCTGTGATTGACTAACCAAAGTGTGATATAGTCTCTAAACTTTCATTTTTAAAAAATGTTTGTTTGTTTGTTTGTTTGTTTGTTTGTTTAGAGAGACAGCGCAAGCAGGGGAGGGGCAGAGAGAGGGGGAGAGAGAATCCCAAGCCGGCTCCACGTGGTCAGCACAGAGCCCAGTGTGGGGCTCAATCTCACGAACCACGAGATCATGACCTGAGCCAAAATCTAGAGTCAGAGGTTCAACCAACTGAGCCACCCAGGTGCCCCTCTAAACTTTCATTTTTGATATGCCAAACATTAAGAAACCCCAGATTCAGTTTCCTCTCTCACATTTTTAAAAAGAGTGTAATTTAAAAAAAATTAATGTTCATTGATTTGAGAGAGAGAGTGGGGCGGGGAGGGGCAGAGAGAGGGAGGCACAGAATCCGAAGCGGGCTCCAGGCTCTGAGCTGTCAGCCCAGAGTCCGACGCAGGGCTCGAACCCGTGAACCGTGAGATCATGACCTGAGCCGAAGTCAGACGCTCAACCGACTGAGCCACCCAGGTGCCCTAAAAGACTGTAGTTTTTTTAGAGCGGTTTTAGATTCACAGCAAAATGGAGAGGAAGCTACAGCAATTTCCCAAATACCCCCTGCCCCAACACCTGGACAGCCTCCTCCTTATCAACATCCCCAGCAGAGTGTGCACTTGTTACAACTGATGACCTACACAGACACATCATTATTACCTGGAGTCCATAGATTACATAGGGTTCACCCTTGCTGTTGGACGTTCTATGGGTTTGGACAAATGTACAGTGACATGTATCCACCATCATAATATCATGCATTTATTTTCACTGCCCTAAAAATCTTCTGTATTTCACCTGTGCTTCCCTCCCATACCTCCCCAGCTGTCCAGAACCCACTGATTTTTTTCACTGTCGCCAGAGTTCTGCCTTTCCCAGAATGCCCTGTGGTTGGAATCATGCAGAATGTAGCCTTTTCAGATTGACTTCTTTCACTTCGTAACATGCCTCTAAGGTTCCTACGTGTCTTTTCATGGTTTGATAGCTCATTTCTTTTTAGTGCTGAATCATATTCCATCGTCTGCATGGACCATGGTTGATTTATCCATTCACCTACCAAAGACACCTTGGTTGCTTCCAAGCTTTGGCAAGTATGAAGAACGCTGCTATAAACGTCCACGTGCAGGTTTTTGTGTGGACATAAGTCCTTTGCCACTTTTAAGCCTTCAACGTCTCCTCTTCCGCAGGTCAGACCATTACAGCCGCGCCGGCCCCTCCTGCTGGCCGGCCTTTGCACCTTGGAGGCTCCCTGGCTGAGATCCAAAAACAGCCTTGCTCCACTAGAGACATACACATGCTCCAGCTGAAGGGGAGCCAGAATTTGTCACCCCAAACTATGCCTCTTTGGCATAAGGATTACTTTAGGCTGATTATCTTTAAGGAACAGCAAAGATGGGAAAAACTCTGAAAACTGAGTAGAAGTTACCCTTTTGGAGGAGAAAACTATACATATAAGGGAACTCTCCATTTATAAGGGTATCTCTCTCTCTGTACCAGGAAGTGAAGGATGACACGTTTCTAGAAACCCTGTTCAGTGGAGAAGGCAATGACCTGAATCTGCTTAACAACCTTTCTCTTGACCACCGCGCTTCTCTCGATGATAACCTCCCATGACTGGCCTCCCCCTCCCCCAACATCTTTTGTCTTTAGCTGGAGATGGTATTTAAGGGGGTGGCTTGGGCCATTTTGGAGTTACTCAGTTTTCCTGGGTCTCGCCCATGTCTACAGGAGGTATGCATGTTATTAAACATCTACTTGTCTTTCTCCTGTTAGTATTTTATTACAGGGAGATCTCGACCAAGAACCTAGAAGGGTAGAGGGAAAGTGACTTTTCCTCTCCCTGCAGACATACATCTCACAAGGCACAAGCCTTCAGGACAGTAGCCTCATTCAGTGTTATAGCAACTCTGTCCCACAATAAATAAAAGTTTGTTCTCTTAAGAGGTACTCTGAATTAGGGCATTCCCTCTGGTGTTTTCCTTCCCTTCCTTTCTTTGCACTTTACATGTGCTGACATGGGAGCCTCTAGCTTTACATTTTGTTGATGATCTCCTAAACTCAAGGAATTTCACAGAAGACCCATCCAGCCCCCCTTCTGTTTAACTGCTGTGTTTTTACCCCTCTTCATTTCTTTGGTCACAAATGAGTCACTCTATTTTTTTTTCAATTTCTTTCCTGCAATTATATCTCTTTGTCTTTCTTGTGTATGGGTCTCCTCCCACTCCCTGCGGTACCTAAGAACAGAGTCTGCAAAGAGCATATTTTTCAGAGAGCTCTTCGTGGGTTACAGTGCTCACATCTATTTACTGAGAGAGACTTTCATTAGGTTCTGTTGGAGTTTTCTGGAATCACCTGGAAGCTGAACTCCTAGAGAAAATGTTTGGGTCCAGATTGTTAATTGAACTGTGTGCAGCCTAAAAATCTTTCTGCAAGCTTCTGGGACTTCTCAGCCTGATTACTGGAGACAGAGCGGGGGCTTTGTCACCTGCTGCCACCACCTCAGCAGGTGACTGGTGTGAGTCCAGCAGCATGTTGGATCTGAGGTTCACTACCTGGGAAGACAGATGATAATGTCTCACTCCTACAGATCTACGATAAGGTGGCAAATGAGACAGTGTGTGCCCATAGAACGTGGAGTTCCTCTGAGGATTAAGGCTGAGACCTTGGCTTGTGAGGGTTTTGTGATTGGGAGAATGACCGAAGGGCACACAAGGCCTGGAGTCGTGCCTTCCTTTCCTGCCTGTGGGGACTCCCGATGTTGGAATCGCATCCGGGCTCTCTTGGCACCTCGTCCAGTGACGGGAGAAAAGAATCTGTTACTGTAACATGGATGCTCCCTAGATGCTGGGAGTGAGGGAGCTGAGGCCAGAGGTCAAAGTCACCGTGGCTGGCTTTGTACTCTAGTAGCTGAGCCAGAGCTATGTTTCGCAGAATTCTTGTCTTTTCCCTCTATGGTCAGGGTTGGCCACAGGAGACGTTCGTGCGAGATTTGGAAGGCAGAAGCGAAGGAGCCGCCATTTTCATGGTCCGACCATCGGAGTAGGGCAGGGGCCGTCACAGCTCACGCGTGTCACCGTCCGCTCTCTTGCCACGTTGGTGAGGGTGGCAGCCGGGCCCGCAGCCCCTCCAGCGCCCCCACAGCTCCCCGCTCGGCTTCTCAGAGCGCCGGGGCTGTGGGTGTGCCGCCGCGCGCTGGAGGGCACCCACCTGGCCTGCATGTCCCCTGCATCGGTGAAGTTGGAGGCTGCGAGAAACTGAGAAGGTTCCCATCGGTCCAGCTGGACTCCGGTTTGTCCTTGGTCTCCCCCACGTCATGTCCATCTCTCCCTCCAGACTGCCTGCCCTGCTGTCTTCAGGCTCCATACAGCCGCCCCACATGCTGCTTAACAGGTCCCCGAACTGTGGAGCATTCTGCCCCATCACAGGTCCCTCACTCCATAGCCTCGGACCTTCTGACCTGCTCCCTGCTTAGAGGCTCTGACTGCATGTTGCAGGGCCTGTGCTGATAAATGGGGAAAACCCAACAGAGAGGTTCCGACCAAGGAAATCCTCAGGGCGTCGAGCCAAGAATTTGCCATCAGAATGCTTGGGCTACCCCTGAGCCACATCGTACCCTGTGGAGGGTAGACCCTGACTGTATCACTGTTTGAGCCAGGACGGAGTACAAAACTATGATAGACACTGAATCAATCCTGGGTGCTTGGGCAAGAGATTCCATGCGAAATCGGATGAGTCCGGGACACAACTAAGTCTTCCCAGAGGCTTCTCCACTCTTTGTGCAGGAAAGGTGGTGGGGAAGTGTCAGCCACACATTTATGGAATCACTCAGTGTATGGTGACACCTTTTGCAGGGGACCTAGGAAGGTGAGGGACACTTTCAAATCACCCTCCCTCTTTCTACTCGTCTGTCCCCAGGATGCCTCCATCCACAAATGGAAGCGTTGGGAGGTTTGAATGGCAGGAAGTCAGGGGGTGGGGCTTCACCCCTAGTTGGTTGGTAATTAAACAGGACCATATCAGGGACTAGTTGTTAGTTAATGGAGAACCAAGGGATCCCCTAGATCCCCCAGAGGTGGCTATTGAGATGGCAGCCCAGCAGAGCAGGCTGATGAGGTGGCTGGGGCACTGGCTATCATGTTCTGTGACTCTCTGTGGCACTCAGGGTCCGCAGAGACACCCTTCATGTTTCCATTTCAGCTCCAATGACCCCCATGGTGCACTTTGCCTCTGCCAGGCCTGCTCCTACCTCAGGACATTTGTACCCTCTGCCCCCTCTACCTGGGTCCCTCTACCCTCAGAGCCCTTCCTGGAAGGGATCACTCCTTCACCCCTTCTCATCTTTGCTCAAAAGTCACCTCATCTCTGTGAGGCCTGGCCTGACCACCCCACTGTAAAACCGCAGGCCTCCCTCATTCTCCACCCCCCTCCGGGATGTATTCTTGCTCTGGTATGTATCACCTACTCGCATGTGGCTGAACTTACTAATCAGGGTGGAAGCTTCAGGACAGGGACGTGCCCTGTTTGGACAGTGGCATATCCCAAATGGTGGCTCACCGTGGGCACTCATTACAGTGTTCATCTGGCCTCACTCCACAGGGTGCTGTCAGCCTTGGATTGGCACCAACACCTCCCTAAACACAACTCCAGGGACCCCGGTGGGAATAGCCCCCCCCCCCTCCCACCGGGGACGTGCAGTTCAGCGGTATGGAGCCCAGTATTTGTCGAAAGGAGGCCACTGGTGGCTTCCTCTCCCTGTTAACCTTCACCACCCACTGGCCTCTCTCAAATCTTTCCAGTGGCTTCGAATTCTGCAGCTCTGTTTCAACCTTCCCCGTGTCAGGATGGGGCAGCTGGCATGAAGAAGCGGGCTGATTTTGTTTGTTCATGGTTTATGTTCCAACTTTGACATCTTATTTCAGAGCGATGTGAGAAAGGCACTTGATAAGCTGCCTGCAGCAGTTTCTCCTAAGGGGTCTGCCAAAAACTGCGTGGGATTTCAGGGTCTGGTTTTCTTCGCCTTCTTCAGGTAAGCTTGTTTATAAGGAGGAAACATTTGTGCCGCTCAGCAGGTTTGAGAGACCCAGTGGGAATGGCTGTTTATTTGTCTTTTGATCACAAAGCCTGGGGTTTGGCTCCAAGGCTGAAAGATCTTGAGGCCTCTTTATCTCCTCCCCTGGAGACTTGAATCTCTCCTCTGACATTCCTTGGGCCCCGGAGTGGCTGGGGACCGCGGGAGGGGCTGTTGCAGGTGGACAAAGATTCCCCAGCTGGCCTCCTCCCCGTAGCTGTCCTCAGTCTGACCTCCCACCAGGGACTGTGATTCCTTCAGAGACTGGCTGCAGGGCCTAACCTCTCCCTCCCCTTTTGTCTTACAAACAACCACAAGGAAGGGAAAAGAAAGCTGCCCACCCTGCAAAACCAAAACCAAACCAAAACAAAACAAAAACAGTAAACATTAATTTTGGGGAGCGCGCCTTTTGTGTATTATGCCACATCTTGTCACTTGCCTTTATGGAATCTGGGGACCCAAGCGAGGGGAAGGGTAGCAGTGTGCAATTCACTCATCATATACGTGACCTAGAACTCCACAGGGGGTTGGCGGCCTGTCCTTAAACGTCGACCCAACCAGGCCCGGGTTGTGTGATCCCCCAGGTTTCAGGGCACCCCACAGGCCGGTGCAGCGTGAGCTACCCCTGACTGGCCTGAAACCCCAACGAGCAGACAGAGTTTTGGGGTGTTTTTTTGTTTTTTAATTTTCCTTTTGTTTTTATTTTTGCAATGGAGAGAAAGCACGAGCTGGGGAGGGGCAGAGAGAGAGGGAGACAGGAACCGTAGTGGGCTCGGCGCTGACAGCACAGGGCCCGATGCGGGGCTCGAACTCACGAGTGATGAGATCATGACCTGAGCTGAAGTCAGATGGAGCCACCTAGGCACTGAGAGGGAGGTGCGGGGCGGGGAGAGTTTTCTTTGAATCAGGATGCAGCACCACACAGCATTCCCCACAGGGGCACGTATCGAGAAAAAGAAATTCAAATCACCCCTCTGGTACGCTTTCCATTCCCTTTCCTGATAACGCGCAGAGAAGCCGATTCTGTAGGTGAGCAGGCAGGTGTACCGAGGGCCACCGGGGCCTTTCTCCTGTCCCCAGGTGCTTCCGGTGGGCGTGACAGCCAGCAGCCTTGGCTGAGGACACAGCACCTCCAGGATCTTGCTCCTTGCCTCGAGGCTTGCTTCTCTAAGGAGCCGAATGATGTTTTGGGGTCCCTGGCCGTACCCACATCCCACCCCCTCACTTGGCACAAGGCTGAGCGAACACCTGGGTGTCTGGCGACCTCGAGATGGTGAACCGATTTTGAACTTGCTTTCTCAAGTCATCCTACTTCACAGTAGACGGCCTCACGTCTTTCTTTGAAAAAAATAAATAAAAATCAGTGAAACGTTCTTAGCTTGGTGCAGTGATTTTACTCATGCAGAAAAATGTAAAGGTAAAGAGGAAACTACGAGAGCAAACCTTTGTGCTCCCCGGGTCTCCTGGGAAAGCAGGGCAGGCAGGGCTCGTGCGCGCGAGGCAAGAGCTGCTTTTGCAGAAATGGAAACGCTCCCCCGTCTTTGCTTCCTCATGAAGCTGCTTCATTATATTTTGAGGCGAGCGAGTCATGGGTTCCTGGTGCGCTGTGCTGTCTTTTTCAATTAATGCTTTTCACAGAAGTTCAGGTTTTAAACATCTCCCCCTCTCTTCCCAGGTCGGTTACATTTCCCAGAATGGTTCCCAGCGCTGGAGATAATTCCTTTTCGGAGAACCTACATTTCTCACCTGCTGATTGCAATTAGCCACTGCCAGCTGGGGCCTGGTGTGCAGCTGAAAAGCTAACAAGAAGTGGAGACCACGCGGAACCCAGACAGGGCAGAGGATGTGAATAAATACGGAATGGTGCCCGTGTTTATGAGTCGCTCCGCTGAATTCCAGGTTTCCCGACCCTCTGGATGGCCCTCCCTCTTCCGGCTCTGTGCTCCCCGCCCCTCCCCTACCAATTTTTTTTTCTTTTTTTTTTTTTTTTTTTTTTTTTTTTTTTTTGTCTCTGGGTCTGTAGCCTACGTTTAACATCACAGTCACGAATTTACCACTAAGTACATTTTGTTAGGCAATAAACAGCCTCGGAAGAAAAATGAAATCGGACTAGGGCTTCTGTTCCAATCATGTTTGCGAGCTGTGCTGGAATCAGGCAGGCCCTGCACGCAGGTCTTAGAGCTAACCTTGAATATGAGGACTGGCAGGGCCTGGAGAGGCCTTCAGGATCACTAATCTGAACCCCTCATTTTATGCATGACAACATGAAGTCCCAGAGGGAGAGCATGACTTTTCCAAAGTCTTAGAGGAAGTCACAGGGCTGGATGAAGTCCATGTCTCCTGATGGCCAGCTCAGGACTCTAACCACTGAACTGTCTTGGCTTTGATCATCGTGGACAGCCAACTTCTAGAGTTTGTGAGGAAAGCATCAAGGACGTTGCCAAGAGTTGGAAGGTAAGTCTCTGTTGGGCAGTGTGGTCTCCAACCCAAGGACACACTTGTTTCTTTCCTCGTGGGCTGGGCCTGGCCCCAGTACCAAGGTTATGCCCCTGGCCAGTGTCTTCCAGGGTGGTACCCACGTTCCCATGGCTCACCTGATGCCCTGCCTGGTCCCTAAGGAGAGAGTGCTCGGCCTTTGTGGTTGTTTTGGGTTTGTACCGCAGGCAACCCAGACCACAGACCATCAACCGGCGGGAGATTAGCCGCTGTCTCTGCTAGCTTCACAGTGTAAATGGAGGAGGCTGGCCTGATGCAGCTGTATCTGCTTGGTGGGAGCAAGCCAAGACCTTCCCGGCCCTCCCCCGCTACTTCCACTCAGGGTGTCAGGCATTCTTGCCCAACTCACTTTCCGCTGTGAGAGGCTGCCTTGTGGGGTTTAGGGCCAGACAGCGAATAGGCTTCCAGGCAGCAGGCAGTAACCAAAAATGCCTGGACTGTGGACTCGAACCCCAGCTCTGGTCTACAGTGGGCACGTCTCCCAGCCCGTTTCATCATCTGAAACTTGGAGAGTCATAACGCATGGCTCATTGGGCTGGCTGAGAGGATGAGGGAAGGTAATGCAGGTGGAAGTAGGTTCTCCAGAAGCGTTCACTTTCCTTTGCTCTAGCGCTGTCTCTAGTTTACAGAGGAGGAAAACTGAAGTCAAGGAAGGTAAAGTCCCTTCCGTTGCTTCCAGCCACCTACTCTGTCTCCTGTGAGGCACTCGGGGAAGAAACCACGACTTTTACTAACACAAAGTCCATTCCCCAAAGAGAAATGATTCTCTGTGCTGGTAAATGTTCAACGACCAGCTGGAGAGAACGGGAAGGGGGAGGGAGGAAGTCCTGACTTGCAGGGTGGTTGATTTTTATTCGGAGATAATCGCAGATTCACATGCAGTTGTAAGAAATAATGTAGAAAGATCCCCTGTACCTTTTATCCACTTCCCCCCAACGATAACATCTCGAAAAACTGCCGGACAATATTGCAACCAGGATATTGACATGATATAATCCACCAGTCTTTGTATCTCGCAGTCTGACTTGCACTCCTTTGCCTGTGTGTGTACTCAGACCTGCTCAGTTTCATCACACGTGTGGGTGTGTGTATGCATCACTCAGTCAAGACACAGGGCCGCGCTGCCCCCACAGGGTCCCTCTGTTGCCCTTTTTACTCCCCCCTGCTCTACGGCCGTCCTTAGCCCCTGACAACCTCGAGTCCGTCCTCCATTTCTAAAGTTTTGTCATTTCCCAATATTATATAAATGGAATCCAATGGTATGTAGCCTTTGAGATTGGCTTTTTTTCCCCCCCTTGACACAATTCTCTCAAATTTGATCCAAGTTTTTACATATATTGGTAGTTCATTCTGTTTTACTGCTGAGCAATATTGTATGGTATGCATGCGTGACAGTTGGTTCAACGAGTCACCTGTTAAGGGACGTCTAGGTCGTTCACCCGTTTTGGCCTTTACGTAGAAAGCTACTGTATCCATATTCAGGCACTGGTTTTTGTGTGAACATCACTTTTCCATTTCTTTGGAAATTCTGCACTCTGCCCAAGAGTGCGATTGCTGGCTTGTATGGTAGTTGCATGCTTACTTTTATAAGAAACTGCCAAATCAGTTTCCAGAGTAACCGTACCATTTTATATTCTCCGCAGCAATATATGACTGATTCATTCTCACTGCATCCTGGCCACTGTTTGGTGTTGTCACTATTCTTTATATTAGTCATTCTGCTAGATGTGTCATCATATCTCATTGTGGTTGTTTGTTTGCATTTTCCTAATGGCTAAGGAAGCAGAACATAGACGTGCCTCTTTTCCGTCTGCATATCCTCTGTAGTGAAATATCTTTGTGTCTTTTTTTTAATTAAATATAATTTATTGTCAAATTGGTTTCCATACAACACCCAGTGCTCATCCCAACAGGTGCCCTCCTCAATGCCCATCACCTGCTTTCCCCTCTCCCCCACCCCCCATCAACCCTCAGTTTCTTCTCAGTATTTAAGAGTCTCTTATAGTTTTCCTCCCTCCCTCTCTGTAACTTTTTCCCCCTTCCTTTACCCCATGGTCTTCTGTTAACTTTCTCAAGATCCACATATGAGTTTTTCTCCTTTTCTAATTGGGACTGTTAGGTTTTGTTACTGTTGAGTTTTGCAAGTTCCTTGTATATTCCACATACTAGTCCTTTGACTATGATACATGGTTTGCAAATATCTCTCCCCGGTATGTACCTTGTCTTTTCATCCTGGTAACAGGCTGTTTTTCAGAGCAAACATTTTTAATTTTGATGAGGTACAATTTGTTAATTTTCTCTTTTACTGATTCTGCATTTAGTGTCAAGCCTAAAATCTCTTTGCCTAGCCCCAGATCACAAAGATTTTTCTTCTTTTTTCCTCCTAAATTTCTCAAAGTTTTATGTTTTACAGTTGATTCATGATCCATTTTGAGTTAATTTTTATATAAATTGTAAGGTCTGGGTTAAGGTTCTTTTTTTTCCCCCCCTGTGGATGTCTAATTGCTCTGGCACTGTTTGTTGGAAAGGCCATTTTTCTCCATTGAATTACCTTTGGACCTTTGTCAAAAATTAGCTGGGCATATTTGTGTAGGACTATTTCTGGGCTCTCTATTCTGTTCCATTAACCAATATGTCTACTTATCCACCAATACCACTGCCTTGATTACTATAGCTAAAAAAACACTTTAATATTCAGTAGAATGATTCCTCCCTCTATCGTTCTTTTTCTAGATTCTTTGCCTATTCAACGGCTTATGCTTTTCCACATACATTTTGGAATATAATTGTCTGTGTCCACAAAAACCTTGCTGGGATTTTAATAGGAATTGCATTAAACATGTATATCAAATTGGAGAGAATTGATGCTTTTACTACGTTGAGTCTTCAAATCCATTTTTTGGAATGTCTCTCCATTTATTAGAGGTCTTCTTTGACTTCTTTTACCAGTTTTGATTTTTTTAAATGTTTGTTTATTTTTGAAGGGGGGAGGAGAGAGAGAGGGAGAGAGAGAGAGAGAGAGCAAGCATGAGTGGGGGAGGGACGGAGAGAGAGGGAGACACAGAATCCGAAGCAGGCTCCAGGCTCTGAGCTGTCAGCACAGTGCCTGACGTGGGGCTCCAACTCATGGACCATGAGATCATGACCTGAGCCGAAGTTGGACACTTAACCAACTGAGCCACCCAGGTGCCCCTCTTTTACCATGTTTTATAATTTTCAACATACAAACCTTGTGCATGTTTTGTGAAGTGTATACCAAAATATTTCACTTTCTCTGATGTGAATGTAAATTGTATTGTGCCTTTTTGAAATTTTCCACATGCTCATGATTAGTATATAAAATGCGATTGATTTTTGTGAGTGGATCTTATATTCCCTAATCTTGCTGAACTCACTTATTGGTTCCAGGAATGTTTTTTTTTTCTTTTTTCTTAGATTCCTTGGGATTTTTTACATAGACAATCTGAAAATGGGGACGATTTTCTTTCTTTGTTTCTTCTCTTTGTGTCCTTTATTTCTTTTTCTTGCCCAGGGCACTGGCTAGAACTTCCTGGACTCTGGTAACAATGAGGAGTGTGAGTGACGATCCTCACTTGGTTCCTGTTCTTAGGGGAGGGCATCCATTTGCCCACCATTTAAGTACGATGCTGGCTGTGGTTTCTTTATTTTTTTTCTTAAGTTTATTTATTTATTTTGAGGGGGTGGGGAGAGGGGCACAGGGAGAAGGAATCCCAGGCAGGTTCTGAGCTGGTGGTGCGGTGCCTGATGCAGGGTTCGAACCCAAGAGTTGCTTAACTGACTGAGCCACCCAAGCGCCCCTGGCTGCGGCTTCTCGTAAGGGCTCTTTATGAGGCTGAGGTAGTTCCTTCTATTTCTTATTTGCTGAGAGTTTTTATCATGAAGAGTGTTGCATTTTCAAATGTTTTTTTTTCTGTTTCCATTGATATGATCATATGATTTTTCTTATTTAACTTGTTAATATGCTGGTTTACATTGAATAAGTTTTGAATTTTGAACCACCTTTGCATTCTTGGAATAAATCCTACTTCATCGTGGTATAGAATTTTTTGTATACATTGTTGGATGGTGTTTGGTGATGTTTTGTTGAGGACTTTTGTTTTTAAGTTCCTGAGACATCGTAGATATGTAGTTATCTTTTTCTCTTGTACTGTCTTTTCCTGGTTTTGGTATCAATATAATACATGCCTCCCAAAATGAGTTGACATGTGTTACTTCCTCTTCTATTTTCTGGAAGGTATGGGGTAAAATTTGGTGTTAATCTTCTTTTAAGGTTTCGTAAAATTCTCCAGTGAATCCACCTGGACCAGTGAACTTCTTTTTGAGTTCAAGTTATAAATTCTATGTGTTTAATGGTTTAATGGTCTATTTCATCTCCATTGAACTTTGCTAATTCAGGTTTTTTGGGAAATTGGTCTATTTATTCTAAGTTGTCAAACTTATGACAGTAACGTCGTTTGTTGTATTCCTTTATTATCCTTTTAATG